TTTCTGAATGTGAACATATTTGAAAATTTGCATGAACATCAATTTGATAATTTGCCTAACAATTGTAATCATTTAATAGAACTTGTAAGGGCTGAATGTGAAAAGTATATCGATGTACGAATAAATCATGAAGTCAAATTATTTAATTCGGTAAAATCTACGAAAAGACAAATATTAAATAAATTAATATTATTTAGAGGATAATAAATATATTTAAATTATTTTGTAGTTTTATTTAATATGACACTAAAATATACTATTTTCTGAATTACAAACTTAAAATTGAATATTTGTCATAAGATGCAATATAATAATTAATATGTAATAAAAATATTACTTAATCCGGATCTGCTTAAAGATGCGCGAGATCAGATTGCCTTCCACACTCCACTTCCCCGGATTTTGCATTCACTGGTACCCGTGCATTGGATTAGATACGGCCAGTCTAGGTGGTCTGTGGGTGTAACGTACCGAAGTAGAAACCGCGAGCGTATCACAGCTGCCTCGAATAATTTACGTTTATAAGAGCAGCAATCAGGAGGAACATTCGCTTTGTATCAGTTGAGGGACAAAATTTCGAACAGCTTTTGTAATAAGATACCTATGTGCTACTTTTTTCTATAAATTTCATGTCTGTAATAGTGATCAAGTACCGCATCAATGGCGGCGCGTGAACATTGATTGAATGTGTTCTGCTTAGGGTTGTTACATTTGTTGAATTGAATTCTGGGATATTAAGTGCCCGGAGAGCCGCTAAATGGCGCCGCAGGCGACAAATTTTAAAATTTTCAAGGTCACGCGTTTTCCTGGCACTTCTGAATTTCAAGGAACAATCCATTTATACAAAAATACAGATTTTCATAAGAACGATTGAAATTGATAGGTACCTTTTTGAAATATCTATTCACGAATTACCTACTGTCGGTATAAATAAATTGGAATAAACTAAATATATTTTATTAAATTATTGAATATTGTTTATAAACAAAAAAATCGTTTGAGAAATTTACTAACGATTCAACGAATTTCAATCTTCCTCTCCGTGCTATGATTTTTTCTTTATCTTATATATATATATAGACCTATCATTTGCACATGCGAGGCCTGTAATTACATATAACTCATACAAACGAGGCCCGTTTTGCACAAGCGAGGCCCGAAATTGTGCCTTGCATGTAAAATGCGTGTATGTACAGTTATTTTCCTTTCCCTACCCACCCTGTAGCAAACTGTCAATTTTCGTATTGGGCTCACAAGTGATGTGCATATCACGTCTTATACAGTTTTTAGTTCATTCAATATTAGGTAGGGGTCGCCTCAGTAGTCCTGTATATAATTGGGAGTAACAAATGCGAGGCCCCCATACATACGTTACATTTACAAAGCAATTGCAAACTCCGAGGCCCTTAAACATGGAAACAGTGCTAATTTATTAAAGCATAGGCTAGGTGTCTTTTCCAAGCGTTTTAATAATTTTCTATATGTAATAAGTGTATGCTATAGAACACTCTTCCTGCATTAAAAATTGTCGAAAATTCAGTGCAAGAAATCGTGTTGCTTATAAATAGCTTGAAGTTCATTTTGAATGCGTTTTCTTAAAGGCAACACACTTTGAATGCTGAATTTTGAGATTGTTTTTAATACACGAAATATATTTATTAAACTATTTCCAGAACAAAACAGAACAGGATAGAAATAATTTTCGACGTCGTTTTGGCTGTCAAGCCCAGTGCAATTTTCGCTGAAGTTTATTTTTATTGGGCTAAATTTTCAAAAACTTAATATTTTGTTGCTTCTTATAATGTGTCATTATTATATCTTTTTTCAATTAATAAATTGAGTATAAAAAAAATTGTGAAGATTTTAAAAATAGGATAAGTAGACCGATCAAAATAACTCATTTAGAGGGAAAAAAAAGAAAATTGTTACCTGGATTTATAAGTGGAAATAGTAAAGGGGCTTATAAACGAAAAAAAATAAATGCGTGAGCAGGGGCGGCGGAGGGTTGATTTGGGGGGTGGAAAAATTGTATCATCGGGATTTCTAGCGAAAGTTGATGTCAGACAAAAAAGTATCAAGTATAAAAGTTGTAGATCATGCAAAAATCTACAACTTTTGTGGAGGTCATTTTTTAACATAACCTCAAAATTTCCAAGAAAAATGCGAAAAACAGTTTTTTTTCTGATTTTCCTTTTTTTATTTCTCATATCCGCAAAAATAATTTAATTTTCACGAAACTTGGTGAAAGTGTACCTTTTTCTGTCTTAAATAACCTAAAATTTTTTCCGAGATATTCATTTTTTTCGGACTAAAACACTTTTTTTTCAAAGAAAAATTCTACTTAAAAAAATCGTCGTAAAGAGTTCTGCCGGTAATCATGTTCTTCGTTTTGACATATACTTTTTGGTGAAATAAAAAAAATTATAATCACAGTTTAAAAACATGCTCAAAAATGTAAAAAAAATGACTTGCAGCAATGAATTTTTCAGTAATTCTTGATAATTTATTTAAATTAAAAAAAAAATCCAAAAACTGATTACATCATTCAACTGTACGGAAAAAAATACAAAAAAAAATGACTCNTATTTAAATTAAAAAAAAAATCAAAAACTGATTACATCATTCAACTGTACGGAAAAAAATACAAAAAAAAAACTATTTTTGTACAGTAATGCTATAAACATAAGTCGAATAGTGAATAAATAAAATAAATAATAATTTTTTTTCCCTAGGATCAATTAGTGTACTTATTTTGTTTAAAGTTTGATGTATTCATAGATATACAGTGTGTCCAAGATAAGGATGGGATAGGCATTAGTATCTAGGAAACGGTAAGAGAAATGGGGTAGTTCAGATTAGAAAAAAGTTGTGTTTTTTTATACCTAACAACATGCTGTTTAGAAAGTTTTAAAATGCCGGGTAGTTTCGGAGATATCCGGAAAAACCCGAAATTTTGCAAAATTGTTTAATTTTTTCTGGCTTTATTTGAAAACGAATTTCAAAATAAATTACATATTTACAATGCCACTTTTTTCGTTCTATACAATGGCGTCAACATTTTTGCAATCCGACGTTTCGTCTTCGAGGGGCCATAGTCGGGTTATTTTTTTTAAATACGTCGCTGCTATTTTTATGACAAAATCTAAAGTCATTTTTAATTCTGAATTAGAGGATATTACTATTGCAATCGCTTAAAAAGTTTTTAGCTTGTTTTAGCTGTAATTTAAAATTTTTCCTGGATACGGCTCTGAACGCTTTCAAAATATCTATGTTGCAGCCACAAAAGCCCATGTAAAAGTGTACTGGGTCACGTGCCTAATTAGCCAATAAAAACAAAGGACGCATCTAATCGTTCGCTGTGCACACATTTTGTATATGAGGTTGCATATACATATTAAGGAGCGTAGTCCGCGTCGTAATAAATAATAATATAAGCTCCTAGATTTATTTTAGCGCGAGTACATTTGAATTCTTTAAATATTTTGTTATTTAATATGATTAAATACATAAAATTTTATGTGTTCTGCAGCTCCGCAGTAAAACCGCCGCTGTTTCTAACCCTTTGAGGAATAAGTTATATTATATTTTTTTTTTTGGTATGTTATCAATCAACCTAGATTTATGTATTTGGTAGAATAAAATACAAGACTATGGCACATTGTTTTTCACTAACAATTAATTGTTACTTGATCGTGGAATTAGCCCCCTCCTAGGTGGATGTGGATTTAATTTGTATATATTTCTTGACTCTCAAAATATTATTTCAAAATGTTGTCTCAAAATATTTACAAATTGTTGCTTTTCATTATAAAGCTTACTATTTCACCATATTTTAGGGGATATTTTGGCGTTTTATTAAAAATGGTAAATCGGTTTTTGAGCTGCGGATACGGGTTCAACGTAAAAAAATACGCAAGATCTAGTACTCATGTCTCTGGCACAGTACTCTCTTTTTTTGTGAGGCAGTGTTATTATGAATAAAAACATACTTATTTTGAAATAAAAAATGACGTATTTGAAATATTAGGAAGACTCATTGCAAACAACTCCGAAATACGTAAACTTATACGAAACTCCATTTCCACACTTTTAACAAAAAAAGATCTACATAATCTAATGAAAGATTACACAGCCCCACAAGAAAAAGTGTCAGGTCCGAAAGACAAGACTGTGGTATCTATACGTTTTTGGGGTCACTGAATCAGAATTCGGTGTAAATTTGAACCCGATTAGCCCTGGGTTAAGGTCAGTTCAAGATCAAGTGTACAAAATCAATTACCAACAAAGTAAACCTACATATCTACGAGTATGTTTTTGGGGTCGCTGAATCCGAATCTGGTGTCCGTTTGACCCGATCAGATCCGGGTTAAGGTCAGTTCAAGGTCAAATGTAGAGAATCAATTGCCAGCAAAGTAAACATATATATTCATACTGTCATAGTCAGCGTCGCTTTCGGTGCGGTGGGCGGAGCCTAGCTCTACCGCACCGAAGTGTATAAAAGTGCGCGCAGCCAAGCCGCACTAGCTCATTCGTGTCGCAGCCTCACTAGCGTACGGAGCTCCTCAGACAAGCGACGGTATCGCTTTTTCTGTAGTACCAAATTTACAAAAAGAATTTGTTTCATTTCTATTGGTATAGAAAGCGGGTCTGGGACCTGCAGGTATTATTTTTATAAAGTAAAATTCGAGGTAGTCATTCTGCTGGATAGTAGAATCTGGGTCTGGGACCTGGTGGTAATTCCTTAAAGAATTCACAAAAAGAAAATAATAAGGGAAAAAGAGAGATCCCCAAGTAAAAAAAAGAAAAAAAAATAATGGCAAAAAGATTAACGCAGGAGAAAAAGAACCAGATCTCCTTGGAAAAAGAACGTTCCTAAACCTAGTTTTGAAAAGAGGCCATAGGTCCGTCACCCGGAGGTATACTAGTATACCTCCAACTTTAAAAAGAATTTCGAAAGGTAGAGAAGGTTTAAAAAGAATTCCAACGATTAGCGAACAATCAGCGACTTGCGTCTGGCTTATCACCATGAAACCGGTATTTAGGTCGTACGCCGTCGGCGGTTACCACGACGCTTGGGACAGAGTCGACCGCGGGGCTAGCAGGGCAAACGAAACCGCGATGGGGATCGTCTTCGACGGCCCCCAACTACGACGTAGGGTCGCGGTGACGTCACAATACGTTTTTGGGGTCGCTGAATCCGAATCTGGAGTGCATATGACCCGATCAGGTGTGCTCAGCAGTCTCAAGTTTTAAAATCAAAACAATCAAGTTAAGCATTTATGGGTATTAAAATTTGGGTAACAGATAAGATTTAAAAAAGGAAGCTTTAACCTTGAGCCCGTGACTCTCGAGTTAATTGTTTTGACATGACAAAATTCTAGTATGAATAATATATAAATAATGAATACCCATTGTTTCATGTTCATGAGTTCCAATTTGATGTGCAGAGGTGGAATAAGGATTTTTGATAAATCAACAAGTGGCTCATGTTTTATATTCTAAAACCTAGCATCGAAGGCTTCTCTAGGAGGCCAGACGCTTTTCACGTAATGGTTTCGATCTCGACTATCCCATTCCCAGAACAAGGAGTTTTTGTGAATCTCGATTGTTGGTCCAGTATTATTGTGACGATTTTCAGAAATTTGACATTTATGTTGTTCGTATTTGATCCTATGTAAGATTATACTAAGATTAAAGTACTCTTTTTTCAATGTCACCGAATGTGCTACAGATATGGCTGCATAAACATTTGTATTATACCGTAGCTTTCATGCTTCTCTTGAACAACCTCCACTCGTTAGGTTTATAACATCAATGTTTGAAGTGAATCATCAATCCAACGATATCATTGGAGTAAACTAAGGAAAATTCTTCATCGTTAGAGAAATTGTATACGAAATTCCTTATTTCTGTTCCGAGAGTAAGAAGCTTTCACTCCTGCGCCTTGCTTAGTATTTTTATTTTAGTATTAACCATGATGTTAGGAACTCTGCTCCATCCTTTGCCCAAATCTCGAACAAGATCAATTGCTTTTTCTTGGGATATGATTCCTGTTTTTTTCACAACCTGGTATGGAATATGTTCCTCGTCACTAGCACTATCAGCGATAGTTTTAATTGCCACCCAGATTTTCTTCGTAATATATTGATGAAACATTTCTCTGCTCAAACCCAATCAAATTCTTCACTTTGGGGTTCAAAACCAAACAAATTTTTATAAGCATCTTTCATATGTTGATTAATCTTTTTTCTATTAAGTATTTAGCAGACCTAATCAGGTCAAACGGATACCAGAATCGGATTGGTTGACCCCAAAAACGTATAGATATGTAGGTTTACTTTGTTGTCAATAGATTCTCTACATTTGACTTTGAATTGACCTCAATCCAGATCTGATCGAGTCAAACGGACACCGGATTCGGATTCGGTGACCTCAGAAACGTATAGATATGTAGCTTTAGTTTGTTGGCAATTGATTTTCTACATTAGACCTTTAACTCATCTCAAGCCAGAGCTAATCATATCAAACGGACACCGGATTCGGATTTAGTGACCCCAAAAACATATAGATATCATGGTCTTGTCTTTCGGACCTGCCACTTTTTTGTGGGCCTGTGTGTTATTTATATTTTTCGTGTCCTTGTTTGATTAATGAGTAACACAAATAAATAAAATCAGTGCTTTAATTGGATCTTTATCGAAAATTTGTTTTACAGGGAATGCGGTTGTGGTGAAGGTGACAGTGGTTGTTCAATATGTGGTTGTTGCAGAATCTGTGCTCATGAAGTCGTAGATAACTCGGATTTTGCAAATTTAAGCGAAATGATAAAATTTAATCTAACTAACGATAAAATTTCGGTACCACAAAAATGCAAAGTACAAGAACAGGTAACGTTATTTTGTATGAAGCTAATTAAAAAAAATTAAACAAATCGAATAAAATCTTATCAAATGAAGTCAAACTGTTATTTGATAACCATAAATTTAAGTACTTTTGCATAAAAGAAATCTGTAGAATTTATTTGAATCAGATTAATACCTGTAAAAATACAAGAGCTAATAAAACAATATACAATTTTTAAAATGTTTGTATTCACATTTTTTTCATTTTTATGGCCATATTTAATACCATCTATGTACAGTATGTCCACGGTTACAGTAGAAAAGAGGGAAAATATTTTTATTTTTAATTTTCCCAGGAAAAGGCATTTTTAATTAAAATTTTTGCTTGTCTTTAAGAGGGAGAACTTTCACTTTGCATATACAGGGTGAAAATCGGTAAATATAAAAATAATTTTTGTTCATTTTACGAGAAAAATGCATTCTTGATTAAAATGTTTATTTGTCTTTAAAATGCGGTCGGCATGGAAAATTTTCATCTTGCATGTACAGGGTGATCAGAAAATCGGTAATTATAAAAATCGTTCAAGAATAAATTGCCTTTTGCTCATCATTCAAATATAATTGTCATGAAGAACTTTATTTACTAATTTTGCCAAAACATTGTATTAAATATTTTTTTTGCTGCGACGTAAGCATATTAAGAATAACTGTCAAAAGCGCTATCACTTTTCGCTTTGACGGTTGTCGTCAAACTTTTTTATTCTCCATACCAACCACATTTTAAAGACAAAAAATCAAAAACGCCTTTTTCTCGCAAAATGAACAATAAAAATGTTTACACAAATTGAAATTATAATATAAATTTCGATTCTAGGCAACTTTCCTTAATAATGTATTTCTGTATTGTTAAAAACAAAGACAGTTTATTTTTGAACGATTTTTATATTTACTGATTTTCTGATCACCCTGTATATACAAAGTGAAAATTGTCTATGCCACCGGCAATTTAAAAACAATCAAATATTTTTATCAGGAATGCCTTTTTCTCGTAAAATGAAAAATAAATATATTTTCCCTCTTTTCAACTCTAACAGGCTGTATATTTATAACTTTGATATTTTTACGTCTTTCTCTATTTGGGAATTGTTTGTTATCTATAAAAGAAATTAAAACTGGATATAATGAACTTTTACACATAATAAAGTTACAAATTTGGAAATAACAGAAGCTGGCAAGTTGTTTTAAATGTTGTAATTTACCTTGATGAATGAGTTTAAAATATATGAATATATCTCGTACAACATGTATTGATTTGGGCTAATTCACATATATCCGAAATCGCTTCGTTTGGCCTCTAGATGGCCTCAAAGTTCGTGAAATTGTTTTGTTACGAAAATAACTTTAATATGTATTAATCGATTTTGATTATTTTTGGGGTGTGGACCTTTGCTTTCAATTTACAAATTTTGGTGTTTTTTAAAATTTACAACTTCTACAAAATTGATGTATAGTGATAATATAAATTCATAACTTCTCTTTTGGACAATAATGACAATTGTTTTTTATTTGATAGGTGATACCATTTAGAAATTTTTGTACCTCTTATAGAATTTTGATTATATGAACGGTTTGGGTACAAAAAAATATTTTTTAAATGTCTACATTATCTTACCATCCATATTACAATATTTAACAAAGTGCTAGTAGGCTCTGATTTTGTAGGTTGACTGTAATTTCATTTTGATCTTTAAGTCATTGTACCTGCTAATTCTTGTTCACTACGATAAGATATGTTACACACATATTTCATTTTTCGATATGGATACACAACACACATACGACGAATTAGAGTTATTTATTTACAACGTGCCTAATTTTATTGAAATAATTCGTAAAAACGATTAAATACAATAAAAATTACTGGAAATAAAAGTAACAAAGTTGATGTTATTTTTAGTACAACTTATTAACTAAAAACTGTTCAAAATTACCACTGTTGCTTCTACAGGTGAAGAAAGTTAAAGGACACCCTTTGCAGTTCTTAAGGGTTATTTTTTAAAACATTTATGGCATTTTGGATGTGCCTCCACAACTCTTCTTCGGTGTTAGATGTGGAAGCATGTACTGTTGTTTTCAGAATGTCGCAAAGATAATAGTTGCAAGGTGTTAAGTTTGGTGAACGTACGGGCCAGTTAACAGGAACATTATTCCCTCTACTGATCCATCGACGAGGGAATTTTTGTTCATTGTAACTATTTATTATTCCGCTTCTAGTAAAATAGAATCATTACGAATTGGCAGGTACAATCATTTAAAGATCAAAATGAAATTACGGCCAACTTACAAAATCAGAGCCTACCAGCGCTTTGTTAAGTATTGTAATATGGGTGGCAAAATAATGTAGACATTTAAAACATATATATTAAACACCCCCAAAATAATCAAAATCGAATACTAAGTATTCGAGTTATTTACAATATTCAAAAAATTTTCACGAACTTTGAGGCCAAACGAAGCGATTTCGGAAATAGGTGAATTGGCGTAAATCTGCTTATTTTGAGTCCACGAATCTGTGGTCTTCCGTTGTATACGTTATTCTGGGACACCCTGTATAAAACACACATTTTTTTTAGAAAAAAGTATATTTTGAAAGGACACTGTCAGAAGCGTTGACAATATATGATTAATGGGATTTGCTTTTTGCCTAATATTTGTCCTATTTTCAAAATTTCATTATTAAAAATATTTATTTTATTATTATCTCGTATTTTTACTTTATTATAAAGGTTAAGCTAATTCAAATAAATAAAAAAAAAATATTTTCTAAATAGTCCTATCTATATGCAAAATATATAAAACCTCATATATGTGAATCCTAACTGCTGATATTGTAGGAACCATCTACCCATGGTTTAATTGTTTCCAGCAATATCAGCAGTTAGGAATCACATCTATGAGGTTGGATATCTCTTGCAATTCTGCATACGCAGATATTTGGTATCGACGAAAATTTATTGTTTGACTTGCACTTGATAGGATTTTTAGAGAAAAATAGTACCCTTATTTAATAAAACTTGTTGGTTGTGTTGTTTACTTAAATTATATGTTAATTAAAATTTGTAGTATTAGAATGTACATTATTTTTAATTTCATAATATCTAGTGAATTATTGCTACACTTTTCAGATACAATGGCGATTGGATGCAAAAAAGTGCAAATCAAAGAAGTCAGTCCAGCTTAGTAAACAACCGATGAAATCAAAATTCCCCAGGTCAACTAGTAATTCAGCCAGCACTACAACCAAAATAGATAGTGTTAAACAAAGTAGCACCGTGGGAATAGGTACGTTAATTAATCTACAATACTAATCATAATGATTTTATATTACTTTTGTAATTAAAATTTATGCGTGTAGAGAGGTTTGAGGTAACAATCATGATTCGAAATACAAAATAAAGCAATTATTAAGGCGGTTTCCACTAGGAATAAATGGCAGTAATTGTCTTTAAAAATGAGAATTTTAAGTTTAGTGTGATATTTAAACGTGATATTCGAAATATAAAAAGTTTCAAATGATTTTAATTTAAACTTAAGTCTTCTGCTGCTGAAAACAGTATATCGCTATCATTCAAAATTACCCTATCGACTACCCAATGTCCGTAAAACTCTGTACTCTACCATATCGCTGTTCATTGTTTCAATTAAAAGCCACTTCTTCAACTACCCTTGAAACTGCTAAATTCTACAGTGTGACCCATTTGAAACCCGGTCACCCACATCAAATTATTATTTAAAGAGCGATTTTGAACAACTTTCTTTTTGGATCGTAGAGCGGAGTGTACTTTAGGACCAAGTGTCATCCTTTTTATACAAAAACCAAAGCCTACTAGATCATTTTTGGGGGATAAAAATTGAATTAGCGATTTTTTTGAAAAAATCTGAGTACGCCAGTGAATTAAGCGCCTTGAAATGGGCCTACATCAAATATCATAAAAAAATATTGAATATTAATTATCTTACGATCAAATTGTCAATCGTGCTGATCTTATGGATTTATGTCTTCATCAGTAACCCATGAAACAAAAAGTGAAATACGACATTATTAGAAAAGGTTTAAAATATTATAACAGCCTCGTCTATCAAATCTATGGCAGTATAAGTAAAAAGTAAAATCAAAAAGTGACGCGCTTTAGGTATGGAACAGTTAAGTGTAAGGGAAGTGTAATTTGAAATTGTAGGTCTTGTTCGTGATAAGGTTCTTTCCTCAAGACAAGCGGCATAATAATAGGCATCCTGATAGGCTTGCAACGCACAACGCATTAATAACGTTTTTAACGAAAAAGGTGCAGTATCAAGTCATATATACAATAAAAAATATACCTCGGAGAATTCGAATTCTCTGCCATTAGGCAGAATTCTACTTGACGCCGCTCGATTTGACATAGCGAAACAGTTCAACATTCAACGCGTTGATGCTTAGGGACCCGGCGAATAACATATCAGTCAGAAGCACCATAAGGACCGCACATAACTCAAGAAGCTGAACACACCTGGAGTGTAGACATATATAGAACATATAGAACCATACCTGATAACAAAGAAGAAGAATAGATTTATCATCATCGCCGTCAACATATTCGCCAAGTGGATAGAAGCACAGGCAGTAGAAAAAGCGAAGCAGAAAAGCTTCTGAATATCTGAATGACATACCATAATTACAAGATGGGGATACCCCTGGATGATAAGTTTATTTTTTTTATTTTAAGTTTTATCATACAAACAACGGGGCAAATGTTTTGAAAATGAAAATTCACATATTGTTCAGTACCAGCCATCGAACCCTGTAGAGCGTCGTGTGTAGGAATTCAACAACGTACTGAGGACAAGGAAAAATGCTGAGAGAGTGTGAAACAAGTATATCAACGAGATGTTATGATTTACTATTCGCAACCTAACGAACGCCGCTACCGGAAATCGCCCAGCGTACTAACTTTAAAAGATGTAATGAAGATTAATATAAACATTTTTTAAAAGGTTAGGGATTTTGTAAAATGAACAAATTATTGATAAATACTTTATGAAACTAATGTTGAACTATTTCTCTTTTTTTAACACTTGAATTTTTTCTAATTATATTGAAAAGCTTAAAATGGTTCTTTTCGTTCAACGTATAATTCAATATGACACCGATAAGAAATATAAAGTTACAAAATAGAAACAGAAACGCAAAGTAGAAATAAAAATTCGACAGTGAATTTCTTTGCAAAATTAAAATATTGCTAATTTGAAAAAAGTATTTACTTGAACTAATAATCTCTTATTTTCCTAAATATAATATAAGCACCTGTTTATCTTAATATAGTTATATAACACATTATAATTATGGAAAAGTTCAATGAAATTTTTTACTATTTATTTCAGACATATTTATTATCATGTGTATTATTTAATTTTAGCCAAAGATCAATCTGGTTCTGATGTGGAGAGAGATGCTACGAAAATAACTTGCTTGCCACCCGCAAAAATTTCTTTACCATCTGACAGTCCAGTTGTACAAATAGCTTGTGGTTTACATCACAGTATGGTTCTATTGCGGAACGGTCAGGTAAATTCTTTTTATCGGATAAATTTCTCTTTTTATTAAATCCAAGGGCTTGCAAGTAAGTCCGGTCCTGTAATTCATGTTCAACATAATAATACCACATATGATAAAACAACCAGAATTATATCACGTTGTCGGCACCTTTGATCACTGATGTCTTTTGTCAGGGACCTTGAATGACGTAAATCCCCCACTTTTGGTATACAAAGTCAGGATTGCATTCAGTGAAATTTTATTGCGCTAAATAGGGATGTACTAACAAAAAAGCCAGGAATTTATGTGCAGCAGAAAATGAGGTTAATCATGCAAAAGACTCGGTTATTTACATAAAAAAGTTTTTTAAAAGCAAATTTTAGTTTTATTTTATTTTTAAGTTAAACCAGTCTATTAATGAAATTATTCAATGTTAAAAATATTTATAGTTAAGATCAAACTACTGAATAATTACATATTCAATATTTATTAACATAAATTTATAAGTAAGTACAAGGCAAAAAACGAAAAATGAAAAGAATTGCGTAAACAAACATTTATTGTATAATATACAAATATATCTATCAGAACACAAATATATATAAGTTATATAGGGTTAACTACCTGTAGAGTTAAGGAAATGGGAGCATCGACATTGCTAACATGAGCTGGACAGCCTAGGAATGCCGTGTCATCAATTTTGGACAAGTGGACGGCAATAGCCGTTTAAATCAGTCTGCTTTAGAATCTGACACTGTAATTATCATTCAACAATAAAATTTAATTTTAAAAATTATTTTTTAAAAAAGACCGAAACAGTAATCGGAAATTTAAGTTATATATATAAAGGGTGTCCCGCTCATGTTTCAAAAATACTTGTGTGCAAGTTTGTAACGATTTATTTTTGCTTCTCGACATAAGATAACATTTAACAATAATAAGTAGATATAAAACAGTTTATTATTAATGTATGTATTTGCTCGGTATTGGATAGCTCTGCATAACTGGCCGGTGAAATCTACTACATCCTGTAAATAATATAATACGTCAAATTAGTTTATTGATAGGATAGATAACTTGCCTGTAAATTTCTGGGTTCCCTCTAGGTCTATTAACCCATTCCACATCTTGAGCGCCGGAGACACAATCAATAATGTTAATTGTATGCTTGGTTAAATACTCATACTCCACAGAACACGACAACTGTTTACAGCAGCGTCCGATTGTACACCCATCGTATCGGAGTAGCTCCGCTTAGGTTAGCTGATGGTTTCCTCTGGTCTAGCGTATTGTGTTGGCAGCACTAGGAGTTCTGTGACGATTCCGACCAATCGTGGGAGAGTATTGATTTTCCATTTTTCTAACTTCGTGTCATACTTGGTCTTCCGGTCAGACATCTTGTGGCTTCCAAAAATTTCACGTGTGGTGTGGTGGTCTGCGAATATTTATAGAATTTTTCAGTAATCATCCTTCGNTTAGCTGATGGTTTCCTCTGGTCTAGCGTATTGTGTTGGCAGCACTAGGAGTTCTGTGACGATTCCGACCAATCGTGGGAGAGTATTGATTTTCCATTTTTCTAACTTCGTGTCATACTTGGTCTTCCGGTCAGACATCTTGTGGCTTCCAAAAATTTCACGTGTGGTGTGGTGGTCTGCGAATATTTATAGAATTTGTCAGTAATCATCCTTCGGGGATTTATGTATTCGTGGATATTTCCATATTCTTCGATTCATTTGTGGTGTTTTGTGCCGTGAGCGGTGGTAATTTTGTGAGAAAGAAGAGAAAATTAGCTGCGTTGCAGGATTTGAAAGCACACCACTTGTTGCTGTTTGGAACCGATTCTTGGATTTTATCGTTAGTTTATAACGGACTTTATTGCTGGATTATAGTATAGGATTATTAAGACACCCTCTTCGAATTGAGGTAATTTTGCATGAGTTTATTTTAGATATAAGGGGGGGGGGGGGGATTTTATGTGTTTAATAGTCTATAGCTCTGGGGTGTATTTTAGGGTGTTCTTGCCAGGCTACGTATTGTCTTGGAAATATTGGGTAGTCAGCCAGTACGTTGAAGCACACGATCGGGGGTAATCTGGATAGAGAGAGAGAAAGCAGCCGTTCACTTCACCATTACAGTAACAGCATCAGCTCACTCCTTCTGCAGTGCATGAAACGTCCCACCTCTGGACAGAGAGCTGTTCGTCCTGCTGCTGTAGGTCGCCCTTTTGTTGGCATCTGGTCCAGGCGAGGCGTCCCGTCGTAGCACAGAAACTGTGTATTCCTGGTTGCGGAGATTTCGCCTCCTTTCGTTGGCCTTTCACTTGGTACGGGGCTTCCCTTTTGCTGAATGGACAGCGGTGCGTCCGGTCGCTGAGATCTTCGCCTCCTTCGCTGGGTTTGGTTCTACACGAGGCGTCACATCGTGGAGCAGGGAGATATACACCCTGTGGTGGCTTCTGCACCCTTGGTAGTCTTCGAGATTACAAGGTGCCCCAATGCGTGACGGAGAAAGAAGGAAGCCTTGGATCCTTCCAGCGGCGGTGTACCTTCCAGATACTTTCCTCTTCCCACGTTCGACAGCAAGGACAGTACGAGCCGTCTATCTGCCTGGTAACGGTTGAGGTTTTTGTGTACTCCGGAGGGAGAGATCTGGTATTGTAGCGTATTTTAATTCTGTTTATTTTTAGTCATTGTTAACGTAAAGCGTTGGACCCATAAGTGGCCAGGCTGTTTCATATTTGTTTGTTGAATATAAGGGGGGGGTTAAGATAATAGTAATAATATAATTGGACATATTTAAAAATTAAAAAA